TTTGGGATGTCGGAAAGTTCTCCTTACAATTTTGGAGAAGTTCCGGAAAATTCTCAACTTTCCCTCAGCTGTTCTGGCCCCTCTCTACCCATCTCAGCTTCCAACCTACATACATTTCAAAGATCGATGTGTTTTCGATAGGACCAGGTATTACCAGGACCTCACGGATAGCTCTCAAGTACCGATGAGGAAAAGTCGTTTGGAGATTTCTCCAAAAGGAGGCAATGCACGCTTGAAAATTTTTCCAACTCGATGGTTGACCCTGGGCGCGGAAGCACATTCGGTTATCGAAAAGGCAACTATTGAAAGAATCTTCAGTATATTTACAATCACGAAACTACAACTTTAGATCGTCCTTCCTTCATCATTGGTCCAAAGGTACTTCTCGAACGTCGGCAGCACCTGATGGTATAGGTTTCACTTAAAGTTGGTGCACCGTGTGTGCAATGATAAATAAACAAATAAATAAATAAACAAGTGTCAAAGACCATATAAGTCTAAGTTTCACCTCAGTCTTATTCAGCTGACTCTTCTGGGCCCATTCTAGCAGGGCTGGGTAGACGTTCCCATCACGACGTCCAAGAACCTTAAGACTTTAAGCTCTCAAGGACGGTGCTTTATTGATTCAAATGAGGAGTCCCTCCGTTCTATGGATGCTTACCGAGTGAAGTTCAGCATCGTCAAAGTCCCAGCTGTCAACTAACGAGACGGCATTCGGTCGGAGTCTCTCCAAGCATCGATAAATACCATCTCGAATTCCTTCCGCTTGACTTTCCGACATGTAGCCACCCTAGAACAAATGCTGATTTTGGTAAGAACTACGGCTTTATAATTACTTTCCTAAGCTATCCGTCGATCTTCCTGTTGTCCGGTAGGCTTCTAAGGCTCGGGAGACCTCAGAAACCTAAACCGAAAAGAAGTGGTGAAAAAAGCCCCACCGTGAAGAGGTTGTGCATACCTTCAAAAATTCTCCTTGACTAGCAGTGATCATGTCGAAAGCGTAGAGTCGCGTGAGATCGGTAAGCGGTGTTCGTAGAGAGGCGTCCGGGGCGGTAGCGACTTTTTCCAGGAACGTACGTATCAGATAAAGGCGGACGTGCATCTAAAAGCCAAAAAAAACGGTATCAAAGATAAAAATTATTAGGTTGGAAAGAAAGTCCTGCAACACTTTTTCAAATTTTTGATTTTAATTTTATCTTTTTTGTTTACAACTCCTGACCGGTCTTATATCTACCATGAGTGTCCACCACTTGTCTTCAACGCTCAGAAAATTTCTTGATGCTCCTTTGCCAAAACCCAGCGGAGTGCGGGTCGAGAAAGGAGGCGACCTCACTTTCGAGTTGGAGTTGATCGTCTAATTATTTCGTCATCAAGATGATGATTAAGGTCAGGATAGGTGGCAGTCATTTATAGCTCGACCAGGGGAATACGCTAAGAGAGGTAAGAAATCTTGCCGCAGCTCCAGAATTTCTTACCGGGCTCATTTCGGATCATGGTGATTCGCAATGTCATGAAAGAAATGAATATTGTCGCGGTACGAGGGCTCCTTGACGAGCTGCCCCGGCCAGCTTCTGGAGATTCAGCAGCGGTTAGCCTCTGCTACACAATGGTGCCCATAACGAAGAATTTGTAGTGGAGCTTCTGTAAGAGCCCTACCTGTAATGGAGTGTGAGGGATGCTGCTGGCTTCTTATAAAAATATCAAAAGATCGAAAGCGCTGGTAAAGGTGAAACACGCTGTAGCGCTGAACGGCATGCCTATTGAAGCTATTGCAGATAGTGTCAGTCGTTGACACGAATCCATAGTTTTGTAGACATTTGTACTAGACAGTGACTCGGAGTACGGATTTACTAGTGGTCGAGGTTTTTTGAATTTTCTTGGATAACTACTGACTGCAGCACTTATATCCACCTCGTGGATTGAAGCCTCGAGAATGCTCTACCATTTAGTCATAAATGTTACCTATGAATTTTTCAGAAAAAAAAAGAAAATTTTAGAAAGAGTGTTGCAGAACTTTCTTTCCAACCTAATACAAATTCATGAAAACATACTCGAGACGCCTTGCACAACTCGATTGAGGCGCGATTCCATGCCTCCTCAGTCGACGTTTCACGTTGGTGTCGTTTCAGGGCATCAAATGCACGGAAGACTGGAACATAAAACTGCTATGGGAAAACGAAGTGGAAGAAACGTAAAAGGCGCGTCCTGAGCAGTCGGATTGCTGTGTAGGAACTCTCAATAATCAAGTTTTGAGGTGCGGTGAACTGAAAGTTAAAAGAAAGCTGAAGAAAGCAAGGAAATATGAGTAGAGGCTTAAACATTTTGCTAGTTTGGTTGCGGTACAGTGAGAAGCACAAGTGCTACAGCGCGCTCCACATGGGGCACAGATATATACCGCTCCATGACAGACAATAGGACTACCACTCAGGACCACAGTTTGGGGATGTTGACAAGACCCTAGCGATCTTGCAGCCTGCTCTCCCGTATGAGCGGTACGTCAGTAACCTTCCTATACAGCTCTATCGTGCATGTGACTTCCATGCTGAAGCACAGTGAACGTTTGAAAGTGTATTTGCGCCACGCAGTCACATAGCCAAACAAAACCAGTCCATACCAGTCATGTGAGCGACAGGCGATGATAAGATATGGATACTAACACCGTTTCTGTGAGCAGTGAAGATCTGATCGAAGAAAAAACCTACACAACCTAAAGTCGCCCGATAAAAGCAGCCGGTAACCGCTTTTCTAGAGGGGAGAGCAGGTGAGTAGGAGCACGTAATGTCGGCCATTCTACGAATGTGCTGATCGCTAACTAACCATAATTGGAGAAATATCTAGAGTTGTTCCCAAGGCTCCGGACACACTAGAAGAGGTAGAGTCAACTTACTGTTTTGGAAATTTCGTGTTTTTTGTTTTTCCTATGCCCTTTGGGCCTTTCAATGGTAATCATTGGTAACCCTACGGCCAGCCCATTTGCAAATTCCATAAAACCCAAAAATAGCCTACAAGGAAAAAATGGAAATACATGACTGCTGCACTGGCATGCATTGAAAAAATTGAAACTTTCCTGAAATTATTTTTCGGTTCCCAAGAACTTCCTTTCCCCACTGCTTCCGATAGTACTACTAGGCCTATTTCGGTGAACACGTCCACCTTCCAAAAAATTATGAATACAACATTCATGCGTTAATCAATCATTCAACAGGCCTTGGAAAGAGAACCGCCAAAGAAGAGCACTCAGAGCAGAACTTGGACCCAGCTCCTTTTACATTTTTAGTTCATCCTTGTTGCAGCTTGATCCCATACTGGGTTCAGCACGGAACGCCCGATTTTGAGCGCATTGAATTTGTTGGTCCCACTAGCCAAATTTCAATACTATAATCGATCGAAAAGGGGATTCTATTACAAAACATGGGAGCACAACCACTATCGACTTGGTGCAATCATACTGTAACTTGGGACTTGAAATATAAGCAGGTCGTCTTCCTATGACACGGTGATACACAGCAGCAGGAGGGGCTGACAGTCCGCGGTATCGCTTATATGACCAACATGCAACTTCAGCTTTTTTTCTTATTTTTGAGTACCCTTTTCGAGGGTTTTTTAGCAGTTCAATTTGCCCTGTTCGTTACTGCAAAAATTACTTGAATTTCTAGCGCATTGATTGAGACATTGGTTAAGTGAAATGCCTTTCAAGCTCCAATTCTGCGAGCAACGAGACTACTAATATAAAAGAGCAGTTGAAAGAATGAGGCGGCTGGATTCACCTGTTTTCTGGCCACATGTTCAAAGTCTTGCACTATATCAGAGTCAGAATACGTTTGCCAGGTGTTGAAATTCGAATGTGCTCTGGCAGGTCTCGCCAGGTACGCGCATATCGTCGCTAGTCGTGCATTTCCACTACGAACTTCTTCTGCGGCTTTCATCAGGAACCTGAAAAATTAAAAGTGAAATAAGAAAAAGGTCAGAGCCTTCAGCGTTGGTCGACTCCTTTTGTGGATACGCCACGCTCTTCCATTCGCAATCGCAACACAACACTACTAAAATGCGCATTGGAATATACACAACAATGGGACGGCAGCTTAAGTGGAATTCAGTCATTCCCCTCCCCCTGGGCTAATTTTATATACTTTTTGACTGGTTTTTGAAATCATAACCAAAATGGCAAGAAGTTTTTTTTATAATTTAGCGGAGAAGTGAGAGTTGGATGATTTAGTAGCCCTAGAAGAAGATTTGACCTAGCATTCCATTTACGAATCACACTTGTAACGGAAGGGGAAGCGGAAGCCTTACCTCTAGCCAGGAAATAGATAGAATGCGCAAAATATGATTTAGTTGAATATTAAAAAGGGCGGAATGAAAACATTTACGAGGAAAAGCCTGGTGAAAGTAGAATGCGTGGCGCATACCCAAAACGGACTGAACAACTCTGACAGCTTTTGCTTGTTCATCGTATATTACCTGGCGACCTGCAACAACATGACGATATTCTCGCCCTCATAGGTGCAACCACCGACTGAATAGGCGTAGATTTCGGGGAATGCCGATGCCAGCGAATATCCATGACCACCACAGGCCAAACGACATTGCTCGATGCCCTAGAAAACCATTCTTACAATTAAAGAACTATGGCAAATGGTGGAGCAACGCTGTTCACCTGAGCGGCTTCCCATGAAACGACCGATTTCAAGCCAGAGGACAACGCGTGAATCTCGGGAAGAAGGTCAACATTGCCATGAGTTAGTTGTTCAGTGACCTGAAGGTGATTATATATTGTAATTATTATTCGTCGTAAACGCTAAAATGTGTAGAAAGGTTGTAGAAGTGTTCAAGTAGAGAATAGGTAGCGTTTTGGCGACGAAAGACGCGCTATCGCTATGGTGTATTATGGCGCCGAATATGCCCTTAAAAGCTTTTCTGGTCCTCAGACACGCCCACGGCTGGCACATGGAAGGGGTGGTAACGTAACGGCAACCTTTTCGGAATGAAACCGTTATCGTCATCGTTCGAATTCTTTTCTGAGCGAGCTGCTACGCCTGGCCATCAAGGCAGTAACTGCCCTTAGGTCACCCAAGATGCAACTGTTCGACTTCACTACGGTACACTCGTCTACTTCCGAAACCAACTGACGAAAAAAGGATCCCGTCCTTCGGGTTGAGCTTTTCTTTTTAGTTTTTTTCTACAGATATACTAATTGGCACCTCTTCTTTCACATTTCAACTGTATCAGCTTATCGCAGATACTGACTTTTGAGATATCGTGCAAAGGGACCATGGGAGCTCCATCTTCACCGAAAATCGGTACCCTTCAGCAACGTGTTTCACAAATGACATGGCGAGAGATTATCATTCATTTTGAGAAGAAGTCCGGATGAGTAAGTAGATTGTAAGCTATCTGAGTTCTCGTTGT